AACAAGAGAGTGTCAGAAGTGTCTCGCCTGGGCTAACGATGAAAAGGACTGGTTGAATTTGGGATTTTCATTAGTTGTCAGTTATCATCAAAGTTAAAAGAAATAACATTTGAAATATGGAAAAGTTTTTTTATGTAAATGAACCAATGAAATCCAGACATTGCTTTTCAACCATGCTTCAAGATTTTTTTTTAATAAAACTCATGAAATAGGCCTGGACAGAAATGATAGTACCCTTAACCTAAATTTTTGTTGCATGACTTATTGAAGCAATCACTGCAATGAAACGATTCCTCTAACTGTCAGAGACTTCTGCAGCTCTCAGCAGGTATTTTGTTCCACTCCTCATGAACAAACTGCTCCTGTTGTCTCAGGTTTGAAGGGTGCCTTTTCTAGATGGCAGGTTTCAGCTCCTTCTAAAGATGCTCAGTAGGATTTAGGTCAGGATCACAGAAGACCACTTCAGAATAGTCCAATATTTTCATCTGAGCCATTCTTGTGTGTTTTTCGCTATGTTTTGGGTCATTATCCTCTTGGTAAGAGTCATGACCTGTGACTGAGACCAAGCTTTCTGACACTGGGTGGCACATTTCTCTCTTGAATCCTTGATAGTCTTGAGATTTCATTGTTTGCTGCACAGATTCAAGACCCCCTGAGCCAGATGCAGTAAAGCAGCTCCAGAACATAACAGACCTCCTCCATGTTTCACAGTAGGACAGCATTATTTCCTTGATACGCTACATTTTTCCCTTTGTGAACACAGAGCTCATGTGCCTTGCCAAAAAGTTTCATTTTTGTCTTATCAAAGTTTGTCAAAAGTTCTATGCTCCCAGATGGTTTTTGTGGCTTGTCAACATGTAGTTTGGCAAATTCCAGTCTGGCTTTTTATGATTTGTTTTCAACAATGGTATCCTCTTTGGTCATCTCTCATTAATTGTACTTTGGTTCAAACAGTGACGGATAGTACGATCTGACACTGATGCTCCTTGAGTTAATCTTTACTCTCTTTAGAAGTTTTTCTGGGCTCTTTTGTTACCATTCATATTAGCCGTCTCATTGATTTGTCATCAATTTTCCTCCTGTGGACACATCCAGGGAGGTTGGCTATAGTCCCATGGATCTTAACTTTCTGAATACAGTGGTTTGCAAAAGTATTCATACCCCTTGAACTTTTCCATATTTTGTCACATTACAACCACAAACATAAATATATTTCAC